TTTTTGTATAGATTTGATCCAGGTTCGAATCCCATACTTTACATCTATTTTTCTCAATTTTAATTTAACGAGCCAATTTCGAGTCTAACACGAGCCGAACACGAACACGAATATTTATATCGAGCCGAACACGAACACACTGTTCACAAGCCGATTTCGAACACTAGCCGATTTCGAACACGAGCTATTTAGAACAAGCCGAACACGAGCCAAGCCTGAGCTCGCTCAAGCTCGGCTCATTTACAACCCTAACAGTATGATGTATAAGACTAGACTTGTTGAAAAATGTTTTCAACAAAGAAGATATTGCCTATGCAGTGGGAGTTGTAACTAGAGACGAGTAATCCAGGAAATAGCTTGGAGGTGCAAGGCTATGTGGACCCTATTGATATGTTGACTAAGAGTGTTACTCTTGAAAAACTGAAGTTTTGCACAGCTTCAGTTGGTCTTCTGGTGTAAAGACAAGTGCTTTGAGTTGCAGAGATGGAGGATTTATATTTGAAGAAAAAGGATTTATGTTTGAAGAAAAGGGCGACGCCGCCAGTGGAGGATATCAGTTTGAGGAAAAAGATGTTGCTGCCTGTGTACCAGTCTCAAAGTGGGAGATTTATAAACTGCTCCTACCTATGATTCACAAAATGTCGCCGCCCTTTGCTTCCTTAAGTCATGAACAGTCAGCAGTTCCGGAGGGAGGTGTGTGTGGTTCGAGCGAGAGGAGTATCGCTCTCCAAGGCTTCTTCTTCGGCGGGCTGGCTTGGCTCGCGACAGAAGGAAGAAGAAGAAAGACATCGCACGGTCTCTCCTTCAGTTTAGAAGCACAGCCTTTTAGTGTTCTTCTTCGGGCTTTCTCGGGATAAAGGAAGAGAAGTGCAACGAGTAGTTCCTTGCGGTAGAATGAAGAAGAAAGAAGAAGAAGAAGATTGTTTTCTCTTGGCTTCTTCTTGGTGACTTGTGGCAGAAGAGAAATTGAGTTTATTTCTCTTATAAGTTTATATTCTTCGGTGTATCTCGATGTAGAGCTTCTTCGGTATATCTCGGTGTAGAGAGAGAGAAGAAGAAAGACTGAATCACTTAAATATGTGTATTCCGTTGTGTTACTATTTTTTGGTGTGAATTTTCTCGTGTTATTTTTTGCTTTCGTCAAAGATAATTCTTCTATTTTATTCTATATGTCACAACACTAATTTCTTTTGAGTTGTAAGATTATAGTAAGAAGTATGAAGGGCAGGACTGCAACAACAATTAGGTTACCCTGCATCTGTTTAGATGGTTTAATGTTATGTGGATCAGCACTTCCCTAGACTCCCACAGGTGTAAGAGCCTCTGGTATTAGATAGTGTGAATTTTCTCGTGCTATTTTTCTCTTTCGTCAAAGATCGTTCTTCTATTTTGTTCTATATATCACAACACTAATTTCTTTTGAGCTGTAAGATTATAGTAAGAAGTATGAAGGGCAGGACTGCAGCAACAATTAGGTTACCCTGCATCTGTTTAGATGATTTAATGTTATGTGGATCAGCACTTCCCTAGACTCCCACAGGTGTAAGAGCCTCTGGTATTAGATAGTGTGAATTTTCTCGTGCTATTTTTCTCTTTCGTCAAAGATCGTTCTTCTATTTTGTTCTATATATCACAACACTAATTTCTTTTGAGCTGTAAGATTATAGTAAGAAGTATGAAGGGCAGGACTGCAGCAACAATTAGGTTACCCTGCATCTGTTTAGATGATTTAATGTTATGTGGATCAGCACTTCCCTAGACTCCCACAAGTGTAAGAGCCTCTGGTCACACCCTTTTGATTATACAGAATTCTAGAAGTCTACAACTTCATCTGCTTATTATGAGTTTCTCCTCAATTTTGCATAAGCAGCCTATTTAAGTCTGTTTTTTTTGCCTTTTTTATTTAATTGTCTCATCGTCGTTTGTTGAATGTCGAATAAATTGTATGAATTACCTTATTGAAAGTTTTTGTCACCTTTGAGGTATATTTCTTTTTCAAATCTGAACTATTTCTGAGTTGCAAACTTGACAAACTTGCTGGATCATTGGCTTTTTTTCATATTTCAAGAATTTGGCCTAAAATTGGGTAATTTTTCTAAATGAATGAGTACATTTTGGTTATTAGAAGATAGGCCATGCTTATGCAATTTCATCAATGAAACTTTGAACCTTTCTTGAAGGACTGCTATGTAAAGTTGAACCATTATTCGAGTGAACCTGTTAAGCAAATAGAATCTCTTGTTTTCTTTTTCTTTGTGGGTTGGGCAGATGGGGTAGTTTTACCATCTTATGCTGGTTATCTGTATACTAAGGATCAAAATTTCAACTCTGAAAATATGTACTTTGAGCTTTTTTCAATATTGTAGTATTATTATTAGATTTTACAGAGATTTACACACATGCTACTGACATGTTTCTTTGTCACTAAATAAAATCTTGTTTTTTAAAGACTTCTGAACATGTGTATTCGTATGTGTTACAACATAATCATTGAGAATTTATTTAAAGCAAAAAAAAAACGAATTGGCATTTTGTTGTTCTTTGTGATTTGTGTGATATTATTATAAATGAAAATAGTTGTGTTTTAGTTTTTTAAATTGGTGAGATTTGGGTGTTATGTATTGTTACTCTATTGCTCTTTTATCATGCTATTCTTCCCTTGTTGGACAGAATTATTGATGTCAGTTTTGTGCCCCAATTGACGGATAGTGAATGCCTAGCACACTTCTAAAATAAGAGGCTTGACTAGTTATCATTTTAACAATTTAGTAATGTTGATTATTAGGCGGATTGAAATGTGTCGAGTCTATTTTAGCATCCTTAGAATTTTGAGGGACGCTTTACAGTATACTCTTTTAGCTGCCAGCTTACTGAAATAACATTGATCTTGCCAAAATCAGGTTTTTTATTTTCATGAGTATTGAAAGCATCTTTTTTATTTTATTCAAATTTTTCTGAAGTTATTCATACTGTGTATTTGCCTAGCTGGTCGAATTTTATTGCAGCTGATAATGTTCATCTTTTCACACTAAATAATTTCAAATCAACGTTTCATGTATAACTTCACTATAACGTGTAGTAATTGAGCTTTCTTATAGGTGCTTCCTGCCCCTACTGATTCTATTTCTAGCCTCACTTTCAGTCCAAAAGGGAATTATATGGTAGCTACTTCTTGGGATAATCAGGTAACTATTCTAAAGAATACAAGCTATAGCTGAGCCGATTGCCTTTAGAGTTGTCATTTTTTAATATTCTTGGCATAGTTGGAAGTTTTAATTGGAGACCGTTATTGAATTTGTAGGTTAGATGTTGGGAAATTCTTGCTGGGAGTAGCCAGCCAAAGGCATCAATATCACATGACCAGCCGGTAAGGTGGTTGAAATTTTGTTCTGGGAGATTTACATACATACCATATCATTCTTATGTTTTTACAAATTTGACACTCACACTTTGATATTTACTTATCTAACACTTTAATATCATAATCACATCAAAATATTAATGGTATTTTTGACATGATGTTAATGATATGAATGTCAAATAAATAAATATTGAAGTTTGGATGTTAAATTTTGTAAATATATAATACTTGTGAGTTTTGTATGCAAAAATCCCCCTTTTGTTTTTTTGTTGAATTTTGCCTTTTTTTAATGCTTTTCCTTATTCCATTATTATCTGTTATTACTGACATGTTGAATTTTCTTCCATAGGTTCTATGCTCAACTTGGAAAGACGATGGAACAACTGTATTTTCAGGTGGCTGTGATAAACTGGTCAAAATGTGGCCTTTAATGTCTGGCGGCCAACCAACTCAAGTTGCAGCTCACGATGAACCTATCAAAGAGATTGCTTGGATCGAGCCATTGAAATGTCTTGTTACTGGGAGTTGGGACAAAACTCTTAGGCAAGTATAGATTGATTATCATATTTTTCAAATCAATGTTCATTCCAGTTTTTACTTTTGTGCAATGATATTATCTACCAACAACATTTAGCTAATGGGCTACTGTAATGGGAAGCTCATCACAAATCGTTGTAATATAGACAATTATGTGATATTTTGAATATTTCCTTAAAATGGGAATGCCATCCTTATTCAAATATACCTTGGCATGTGCCTACTGCTTGACCTTGTAAATGCCCGGTTTCTGATCATTTCTGGTGTTGAGCGTTTTGCCATGTCTAGGAGCATATTTATTGATTGTTCATTGTTTGCTTTTTATTTTTCCAGATAAGTTAAGAACACGGGGTTCAGATTTTTTTTGGATTAGGTTAGTTTTGCTTAATAATAAAATAATTGATTACAAGCTATATACCTTTTGTTTTATTTTCTTACCTATAATCTAATACTATATCTACTATGAAAGCAGTGAAGTGGGTAAGTGATGATAATGGGTGGATTAATGAAGCGTAGGGTAAAGGAGAAACTTTGTGTGCGCAACTTGGATACAAATATATTCAACTAGGGCTTAAGCATAAATTCATGCATTTCATTGTAGTAGTCGATATTCTGAATGCAACCATGAATTCTATTTATTGAAGAAGGCTATAAAGACGAGGTCAAAGATTTTGAAATAAAATATAATTCTATTCTAAATTAGATCTAATCCTATCAAAATATCTGAATTCAACCTAAGATTATCCAAAATGACAATTCAACATAATAAAATTAAACGATTAAAAACGTGATGGAATTTGTTCAAAATTAAATGACCCTAAAAATCTTCCAAATTTGTTCGGTTTAGCTCCTTTGTACGTGCTGGACTTCTTTGGACGTGAAAAAATGATCTATTATGAACTTAAAAAAATGACATATTGTGGGCTAAACTTGTTGAATTGTAATGTATCAATTCATTCAACTAACAGGGAACTCTTCTCTAAAATAGTTTGTTGGAGGTAAATCTTAACGTGTAAAAGTTATCATGGCCGAATCATTTGGTGGAAGAAGAGGCCATGCGATATAGGAAAAGCAACGTGAATTCAATAATAAACATATTTTGGGGCTTTATTGTTTAGCTCCAAACTTCATACATCCATATAATCTTTACAATTTAAACCAACAACGAACTAGAACCACGAAGGGATGATAGTGATAGTGCTAGCACAAACTCAATTGTTGGTAGGTGCTTGTTTGTGATCTTTTGAATTGATTTATTTCTACTGAGATTATCATAAGTGAATTGGAGATGATCAACTGAAGCTCTCATAAATAAAGATATTTTAGTACAATAATATATAGAAACTATCATCTTATGATTGACAATATTCTTCAACCTTGGCACTTCATCAGTAGAGGGTATGACTCAGGGCTTCGAACAAACCAAGTTGAGCAGAGTCAACCTTGGCACTTCATCAGTAGAGGGTATGACTCAACTAGGGCTTCGAACAACCCAAGTTGAGCAGAGCTGGTGCTTGTTCGAGCTTGAGCTTGTTTATTAGCTCGGCTCGAGCTCAATTTGAGCTTTTAGAAATATGTTTGAGCTTGAGCTTATTTATCAATCCCTTATTCGAGCTCGGTTTATATGGGGATTGTTGAGCTTATTTGACGAGCAACTCTTTTTGATGAAATAAACAAGCCATAATTGAGCTTTATTCTGGCTTTGTTTAAGTAGTTAGTTTGAAAAAATAAACTAGTTGTATCAAATAAATTTTATTGAGCCAAAAAATAGACATTTAAATGATACTATTTATGTAAGAGCTTTAATCGAGATGCGATTGAACAATAATAGAGCTTGTTCATGAGCTTTAAACGATATTGCTCATGAACATAAATGAATCGAAAAAGCATTCAAACTTGTTCTTTTTGCAATCAACTATTTACGAAAGTGTTTAAGTTCGTTCGATTTGTTAATTAAATGATCATGAATAAGCTCTAATCAAGCCGAGCCACTAGTAGATTGTCAAACATTCGGTTCATTTGCATTCCTAGGTTTAGCATTTGATATTATCTTAAACTTTACTTCAAGCATAATACTTAGGTGCTGGTAGCTTATAATTATCTTCATGACCTATTTCAAGGCATGCGTCGTACACATGTTCGTAAATAATATCATCATCTTAAAAATGATGATTGTAAAGTTTTGACATGTGTTGAGTTGGAAATTATATTCAGTTTTAGGTTCGAAGGACCACATTTAACCCATGTGGTGGATTGCATAGGACTAGACGGAAAACTTTTGATGATGTTTGTCGAAGATTATCTCCAAAATATCTTTGAAAACCTTTGATAATGATGAAATGATTGATAATCTTAAATGACAATGATCAACATAATCATGGTCAATATCACAATGTGTGTATACAATTTTCTAGTATAAGAATAGAAACGCGATATCATAATATGTATGTGAGTGAGATTTGAAAGGGAGCAATAATTGAGTGAGATTTGAAAGGGGGCAATAATGAACAGGAAATTATCAAAAGTGCAATTATATATTTAAGTGTATATAAGCTGTAACTTTTTTTATGAACGACAAATTCATGCATTTGCTTAGGGACTTTGGAGGGCATTGTTGATTCGATCGAGGTGCAGTTTACCCCTCCTTAGTAGCCTAGGATCTAGCCGTAGGATCTTTCTGTCGACTATTCCTGGAAAACTTGTGAAGAAGCCCTCCCCGTTAGCAATTCTGAACTTTTCTTCGCTCGACTTGACGTTCCATATAGTAGTTTTGACCGCTATTGCTTAGCAGGTAAGACTGCTCTGAAGGAACGCAGGGAGTATTCCTATAGGACTGTCGGCCTTAGGATTGACTGTACTCGTTGGTTTGGCGTCGCTGCGCTCTTTGCCGTCTTGTTTAATCTAATTCGAGCCGAGTTTTTGACGTGATTCGGGTCGCGACTCGACGCATTTGCGTCTCAATCGTCGACGAGGTCATCTAAACGACTCCGGATGACGAAATAGACTACGTCGATGCGTCCGGAACATTGATTTTGCCTAGAGGGGACATTCGTTTCATTGCGACGGCACGTCTTGGGGAAAATACATATTTAAGTGTTAATTATAATAATAAATAATATTTTATTATTATTATTATTATAATTAAAAACTTATGTTAAAAAAATCCTTAACCCAGTTTATTTCCCCTCTTTCGTTTCTCTTCCTCTCGCGCTCGTGGACCTCTGCCCTAACTGCGGTTCGCTCGGTTTCACCTGGCCCACTCCTTCGTGCCGTTGGAGTTTCGTCCCCGCGCTCGTTCCTCTCGCACGCGAGACAACCTCACAGGCGACCCATCCCCTTATTATTGCCGAGGATCCTATCCTCGCTCGGTTTCACCTGGCCCACTCCTTCGTGCCGTTGGAGTTTCGTCCCCGCGCTCGTTCCTCTCGCACGCGAGACAACCTCACAGGCGACCCATCCCCTTATTATTGCCGAGGATTGTATCCTCTGCTCCCGACCCTCCTTGCCGCAGAGCGTGGCCTCTGCGAGGATCGTATCCTCTGTGCTTGATTCTTCTGCTGTATCTTTTTAATCATTCTTCTCCTTCTATGATATTAGAGCTCGGTTTTGTAGCCCTGGGGGTATGCCGAAAAATCTCTGAGGGAGGAAACTCTGTCATTTTCTTTTCTGATTTCTTTAATTTTCTGGTGCTTGAATTGGTTTCCTCTTGATGTTGGAGGAGTTGAAGTTGGGGAGTGTCTTTAAAGTTCCTGTGTTACTTTCTTTTGCTTCAAGGAGGTACCTTTTCCCCTTTATGACATATTTCTATTACTGTGAATAAGAAGGTTGAAACATGGCTTTGAGATGATGCTAGCTCCTCTTTTCTCTTTTTGTTCAAAAGCAAGTTGAAATAATTGAAAACGTAGCTTTGAGCTGATGTTGACGCCTCTTGCAAGCATGTTGGGATATGTATTATGAGGCTTTTCATCTATTCTTATTTAGCATGAGATATTGGAGAGTTTATTTGGCCTTTCATGCATGTTTGTGGGCTCGGCTTTGGTTTCTTATGACTCTTCCTTGCTTGAAATATATGTTATGGGAGGATTTATTAAATTCGACAAGTCTTGTAACTTGTTTTGGTGGTTGGGTTTAGCACCTCACGAGGCATCACTTTGTTTAAACTTCTATTGAAAATTGTTTCATGCTTGAAATATTTAAGTTGAGGGCCTAAATATACTCTCGATGTTGTTGCTCTTGTTTAGACATATTTTGGCTCTATATCTTGATGTTTCAAAAGACATGTGAACTACTCTTTGGTTCTAAATGGGTCGGTTTCACCTTAAAGTAGCTGAAACTTTAATTTCTGTTAAAGCTTGAGTTTCTATCTATGCTTGGGCCCTGTTTTAACCTTGAGTGGCTTGGTTTCTCGTCTCCATTGGGGCTCGGTCTTACCTGCTCTAGCTTTTGACTCTTGCCTGATTATGAGGCTTATTTTTGTTTGATTTGGGGCGTGGCTTTATTCTTTTTATCCCTGCTGGTTTTCGGTTTGCCTAAAAATGGCTGGGTTTGGATTTGCTATCATATATTGCATTTGATTAGCCCTTAAAGCTTTGATTTGATCTCTTTAATCTGATTTTCGTTGAGGCTTTGGGGCTCCCTGCTAATTTTAAGGGGCTCGGTTTTGACCTCTGTTGGTGCTTGGTTTCATTATAAGGTGGTTGGGTGTAGATTTGCTATTATGGTTTCATTTGTTAGCCTTCAAAGTTTGGGTTTGGTCTCTACTGGAGCTCGGTTCTCACTTTGGAAGGGTTGGAGGTTGGGTTTTGTTGAGACATGGCTTTTGGTTTTTGTTGAAGTTTTGTCCTAGCTGCTCGAACTTTACTTATGGGCCTTGAAGGGTTCAGTTTGGCTTTGTTTGGGGGTTCGATTTGCTGGTCTTAGCTCTTATCCGAGAGCCTGTTTTTGGTGTTTATTCCTGCCCCTGCTCAAGAACTGTGGGAGGGTGCGGTTTTATTTGCTTTAACCCC